AGATTAAGCACACCCGGAATGGCTACAAGTAGTTCAATCCTATCCCTAGGTAGAATCTATAAAATGATGGTTAACGCCTCAAGTTCTTGTTAATTAATCTTTCCCAACCCCAAATTATCTTTTCCAAAATTAATTCGGAGTTAATGGGCGAGTCCTAGGGTTAGCTAATCCCTTTGGAAACATTAAATAACGAGAATAATTAAACTAACAATAACTCACTTCATAAATAAATAAAAATCATTCCATACATAAGCACAACAAGGTATTTAATCCACACTTTAAACATGAATATTTCCATAAACAAGATTTAAGTGTTGAATAAAATACTACACACTTAGATATACAATACAAAGCAAGGAAATGAAGAAAGCAACATAAGTGGGTAAGAAATTCTCAACCAAAAGCTTCAATCTTCAAGACCAAAGTGTGTGTGCAAAGCCCTAGCTTCCAAAACTTGTTCTCTCTAGCCCTAAGAACTGAAAATAAGCCAAAGATCTTTTACAAATGAGCCTAATCGGGTATTAAATGGTTTGGGGATCAAAAGTGTGAACTTCCAGAATTGCCCATGCCTGAAGCACGTTCTTCGCAATTGCGAACAAAGTTCGCAATTCCCAAACTTGCCCAGACTGCCCAGGTTCGCATTTGCGATGAGACCTTCGCATTTGCGAAGGTTGACTATCCAGGTTGACTTCGCATTTGCGAAGTGGTCTTCGCATTTGCGAATACTGCCTATTCTTGCTGAGTTCGCATTTGCGAACTCCTCTTCGCATTTGCGAAGACTGACCTTTATGGCTGACTTCGCTTTTCCCAAGCTCTGGTCGCATTTGCGACCCCTGAGGGCACTGCCCAGATTTTTCTCTCTTTTTGGCTTCTTTTGACTTGTTTTCACTTGGTTTCTTCACCATTACTTCTAAATCACAATCACCCTGTAAAATAGAATTAAATGACATTAAATACATGATTTTATCACTCAAACATAACAAAAGTATAGGTTGAAAGGCAAGCTAAGTTGGTAAAATACCAACTTATCACACCCCCAAACTTGAACTATTGCTTGTCCTCAAGCAACGAAAACGACAAAATCTCTTCCCAAGTGGCTAAATCAACCTCATATCCTATCACACCAAGCCAAAAAGAAAGTCTACTTTAAGCACAAATGCATGACTTTGATTGGTACCAACAATTACTCCAAAGCATATGAATTATCAAGCACTTCACATAAACTTCATTATACTTCAAGTGCTCAAACACTAATGCAAATCAAAGTAGCAATCAAGTCATGACACTAAAGCTTCAAAATTTGCCTCTCTATCACAATCAACTTTCTTTGGTCATTCTTTCCAATTGAAAATGGGATTAAATTCACAACTCAAATCTCATGTGCCCTCACATTTAAGAGAGGATCCCACACTCATAAATCTTAATTTCAAAACAAAAATGGGATATCAAATGGAAAGAATTAGCTCTCTCTCAAAAAAATGTTCAAATGCATACAAGTAGTACCATAGGCTTGCCCTTCATGTATTCCTCCACTAATGTAGACAACTTGGTTCAAAATCAATTAGGACTTAAAGGGTTGCAGTTTAGGCTTTTGGTTAGGGTAAGGCAAAATTTTGGTTAAAGTCTCCTTCCTTCAAAAACATTTTCCATCCTTTCCTCACTTTTCATTCCACACCTAGTCTTCCCTCTACTCACGACTTTTTGTCACTTCATTCTAT